TAAAATAAAATAAAATGATGTACGAAAAATCCCACAAGAAATATGAATTATGCCGACAGTAATTTGTTTTGTAGCAATTAAGATTGAGTTTTGGCTATAAAAATAATTAAAGCTCCAACTACCAAATAACCACCATCCATGCCGGATTTATCGGCATATTATAAAATTTAAATAAAATATATTATTTTCTGAAAAATATCATATTTCATTTTCATTTTAAAATTATCAAGAATTTTTTTTTTTTTTTTTTTTTTTTTTTTTTTTTTTGTGGAAATCCGCAATAGCTACTCAAAAATAATTTGATTAGTTTTGGTTGGACGAGTTAGGGCAGAACAGACGAGTGAATTTATTTATTTAAAGGTGTTGATGATTTAATTCACAATATAATACTCTCTCCATTCGACTCAAAGAGTTTCATTTACCTTTTGTATCATTGTACTTAACATTAAAAATATTCTTATATTTGTATAATTTTTACACAAATGTCATTATAATAGTATTACAAGACACTAATAGAAGTATTTTTGTCATTGTCCCTTAATTTGTACTACATTTTCATATAATAAATAATATTCAAAGATCAACATGTAAAAAGTAAATGAGACCCTTAAAACCGGATGGAGGTAGTACTTCTTATGTTCCATATAAAATGTCCATTTTTTTTTCATTTATGTCCCTCTCATATAATTTTTTTTAAGTATAATTATACACTTTAATCATATTTAAAATTTTTTAATTTATAAATTCTTTAATTTTAATTAAACTATTTAACTATTTTTAATAATACATTTATTAATTACTTACTAAGTATATTTTATCTAAATTCTCATATATACAATAATATGGAAAAAATATATGAGACGAATGAAGTATTATGTTATATTTCCTCCTGTTCAAAAGTAAATTTATTATTTTAGTATGTCCAAATAAAAATTTTGTATTTCCTTTTTAGAAAAAGTAACTCTAATCTAAATATCAAAATGCTCATACCTTTTACTTTTCATATTATTTTTACTTAAATGTCAAGGGTAAAATAAATAATACATTATTTTATTATCCTATATATTTCTAAAATACAAAAATTAAATGAAAAACTTACTCTTGGATGGAGAAAGTATAAAAATATATGCTAAGCAATTTATATCTTGTATTGTGCTGTATACACATGTTTATTATGCTAAAAATCAATAATACATTGTGTTAGAATACATATATATTGTATATTGTGCTGTTATTTATTTGATGTATATGAAGAAGAAAAAATAAAAAATATATATAAAATATTTTTTTTAGAAGAAAAAATAGAGTGGATTTGAGTGAAATTAAAATTTAGAAGAAAATTTGAAAAAAAAAATAGAAGAATTATATTTATATTAATTTAACTCATTCAACGTAGAAACAAAAACGAATAAGTAAAATACCAAAAATTATAAACAAACATGATTCTAGTTTATTCAATAATAAGTATAATAAATAATTAAAATACCAAAAACCCTGAACAAATATTTATTAGATTATTCAATAATAATAAGGGTAAATTGCATAATATTCTATTGCGTTTTAGTTAAAAAGTACCAAATATTTTGTGTTTTATTTATTGTATAAATTTCTTTTTTGTTAAATTAAAATATGCACAAATCACTATTTTGTGCAAAATTGATGTTTGATTGAAAACGCACTTCCAATTATACAAATTATATATATAAATAGAAAAATATCTTAAATATTATTTTTGAATAAAAGAAATAATTAAATAATTTATCAATTATTTATTTAATAATTTTTAGACGAAAAGTTACTTAAATTTTTAAAATAAAAGTATAAAATGAAGGATTGATTAATAATTTATTTATATTATTCAAGTAAAATTATTTAAAAATATATTTTTTATTGTATAAAAATTGAATAATTTGGTGCGTGGTTACAGTCAAACATAATGAATAAAGTATTTTATGCATACTTTAATTTAACATTAAAAAAAAAAAACCAATAAATAAAATAAAAGATATCATGTGTAGTTTTAATAAAATACAAATGTGTATTAAGTATAATAAATAAGTAAAATACGAAAAAGCACAAACAAACATGCCCTAGTTTAGTCAATAATTAAGCAGACTATTTCTGCCGACAAAGTGTGCGTCTTAGTTTTAATTAATCATCACAAGTTAGGTATGTAACTATGTAAGTAGTTATTTTAATTTTACAAAAAATAATCGTATACCTATTCAAATTTATTTTTATTTATTTATGGGTAAACTGTTTTTTTAGTCTCATGACTGGACCCCTTATTATTTTATCTCGTAAGTGTAGTCTGTCGCAAATTAGTCCCATAAGTGAAAAATTTTCACTGTTTTAGTCCTCCGGCGTCGGAGATGCCTGCGTGGCTCGCCGGGGTGACGTGTCCGCCAAGGTGTCGCTCACCTGGCAGACACGTGGATTTATTATTTTTTTTTCATTTTTTAAAATTTTTTAAAAACTTATTTTTAATTTTATTTGTATTTTTTTATTTTTTTTAATTTGATCCAATTAAAAAAAATTAAAAAAATAATAAATCCACGTGTCCGCCAGGTGTCGCTGATCTGGCGGGACACCTGGCGGACACGTCACCTCCGGCGCCGGAGGACTAAAACAGCGAAAATTTTTCACTTATGGGACTAGTTTGCGACAGGCTCCACTTACGGGACTAAAATGATAAAGGGGTCCAGTTACGGGACTAAAAAAACAGTTTACCCTTTATTTATTTATTTTTTATTATCATCTAATATTTTTATTTTTTTTCTTTATGTAAAAATACTACTCCCTCAGCCCCAAAACTATAGTCAGAGTTGTATTCGGCACGAGATTTAAAAATATTGATATTATATTGTAGTGGGTAAAAAATTTTGGTAAAAGATCTTTTTGTCCTTATGAGTGTATTAGTGTAAAAAGTAGTAGCAATTGTGTAATAATAATGAAAAAGTAATGGTAGTTTCATAGTGATATGGTTATTTATAGAAATGAGACTATTGTTTTTGGATGAATAAAAATGATAAATAGGACTATTCTATTGGGACGGAGGGAATATTTTTTTCTACTATTTTTTTACTCTAAAAAATTACTTTGACCTATTTTTATTAAAATGAGTGCATATTTAAATAACGGAAACTGTACATTTTTAGAATAGTACGAATTAAACAAAGTTTAAAAATTTGAGTACCATATAAATGGTCTCATCTCAATAATAACAATAATAATTATTATTTATCTATTTCGTTCTAATACAATAGTCTTGTTTACAATTTTTATCCGTCTCAAAACAATGGTCTTATTTTCATAAATGACTATATCACCATAAAATTATCTTTACTTTTTCATTATTATTACACAATTGTCACAACTTTTTACACTAATATACTAATAAGGGCAAAAAAATCATTTATCCTTATTTTTTACCAACTATCAATATAATATTAATATTTTTTAAATTTCGTGCCCAATACAATAAGACTATACTTTTGGGACAGAGGAAATATTAATTTTTGCTTGAAATTGCAAGATAGTATGTTTAAGATCTGTAGATGTCGTTTTGGTATAATCTTTTGGTCCTAGTTTTCGAAAAATTTGGAGCGAAATAAAAAAAAAATGAAGACTCTAAATATATATAAAAATATTTATTTTATCTATAATAAAATATAAATAAATAAATAAAATAATTTTTATTATTTTTGATACAAAAATATCAATATAAATAATAATATTAATATTATTTTTGTTTAATAGTATTTCTTATTTAATGCAAAATAAATCTTATAAAAGAATTCCAAAATTTAGAAACACCAGGGATTTGATGACGATGTGATGACGTGATGGCAGGGAAATAGAAGATTTAAATGTGGTAAGAGATGAGTTTTCGAATTTTTTGTTTATTCCCACAAATTTGATTCTCTCTAATTTTTCACAAAACAATTGAATGTAAATAATAAAAAATTGAGTAACTTATTTCTCAATTTTAAATTCTAATATGAAAATAAATAAAAATATATATATTAATTTATTTATATCTCCCTAATCATTCTTTTAAAAATGTATTAGTATTATTATTATTATTATATTATGATATGAGAATTGCAGTTGTTACTGTTCGAATTTGTTGCAAATAATTTTCAGTCGAATCTAAAAATCTGTAAATTAGGTTCAACAATTAAGTGTCATACTAGACTAGTCACGCGCAAGAGAGTTAGTAATTTATTATTATTATTATCATTATTATCCTTTTTTTTTTTTTTTTTTTAATGATATAAGAATATGCAATTGTTACTTTTTGAATGCACTCTCAGTAATTTTTTGGTCGAATCTAATAACTATAAATTAGATTCGAAAAAATAAATCGAATCATGTGCATCGAATCTAGAAATTTGCTATTATCATTATCATTATTATTATTATTATTATTATTATACTCCCTTCGTCCCATAAATATAATTCTAATTGAGTTGGACATGAGATTTAAGAAATATTGATATTATATTGGTAGTTGGTAAAAAGTATGAATAAAAGAATTTTTTGCCCTTATGAATGTATTAGTGTAAAAAGTAGTGGCAATTGTATAATAAAAAAAAGTAGGGATAGTTTTATGGTGATATAGTTATTTATTATTTTGGAACGGACAAAAATGGTAAATAAGACTATTGTATTGGAACGGAAGGAGTAGTATATTGTATTTGAACAAAAAAATAGCAAAATGTATTTTTCGAATTTACGGAGAGAGGGAGTACAAATTACATGATTAAAATATATCATTATATTCAAATTAAAATACAGGCAAACAAATTCGAACACAAACGTCCATAGCAAAAATAAAAAATAATTAAAAATCCCCGATCGAAGCTTCATGTGCCTGTGACGTTTGCAACTTTTGGAATTATGTAACTCCTAAAATAAACATATTCATACATATATTCATAAATTCTTAAGTATAAATAGCAGCAGCAAACTAGCTACAGGCAGTCACTACTTAGAATTATATTTGTGTTAGCAAAAAAAAAATGCAAATGCTGTCGAAGTTATTACAATACTGGTTACTATTTTCGACTTTTCTCGTGTTGTTGTGGCCGGGACAGTTCTGTCTCGGCTTCAGACACAAGCACACGAGAAGCCGGCATTCGAACGCAACCACCGGAGGTCTCCACTGGTCCTCCGCCGGAGCAACCTGGTACGGCAGCCCCGACGGTGCCGGAAGTGATGGTATAATTAAATATATATTATTTAAATATAATAATTTTATTATTATACTCCTTCTGTCCCACTCTAAAGGTCTCATTTAGCGTCATTGTATTTAATATTAAAAATATCGTAATATTTATATATTTTTTTGCACAAATATCATTGTAATGATATTACAATACACTAATAGAAGTATTTTTTATCATTTTTGTTTAACTTATACTACTATATTTTCATATAATAATTAATATTCAAATATCAACAAACAAAAAATAAATGAGACCTTCGAGCCAGACGAAAATAGTATATTTTTGGAGATTTTTTTAGTTATGTGCTTCATCTGTCACATATCTATTATTCTATTTATTATTTTTTTATTATCCCAAATCAATTGTCATATTAATATAAATAATCATCTAACTATAAAATTATTTTTATTTTTATACAAATGTTACTATATTTTAAAATTAAATTAAAATATACATTCACATGAATAAAAAGGACATTTAAGTAATATTTTGTGTCATCATTATTAAATTATCAATACTTTTTAAGTATTGCGCAATAAAATTATGCCCCAATTGAATTAGGATGGAAGATGTATTAATAATGAAAAAATTTAAATTTATTTATAGGTATAATGTTAAATGAATGTAATTCATATTAATTAATAACTACTTAATGTAACATTGTGTTTGTTTAAGGTGTTTGGATTTTGGATGCGGATTTTAAATAGTTTTTTTAAAATGATATAAATTCATATTGATATGTAATATTTTAAATGTAAATTTGATTTTTAATGTAATATAAAAAATATATATTTGATTTAATATCTTTTAAAAAAATATCATAAATAATAAAAAATCTTGAAATTTTTTCAAACACATACAGCGTAGCGAAATATAACAAGTATATATATATCATTGTAGGAGGGGCGTGTGGATATGGAAACCTCGTATCCAAATCTCCATTTTTGTCGATGGTCACCGGAATCGGTCCGTCTCTCTACAAATCCGGCAAGGAATGCGGCGCTTGCTATATGGTAAGATATATTTGAGTACGCACAATTATTTTGTATATTTCACAACAAATTTTCTAAAAAATATATATTATTAAAAATTATTTTCAAAATTTCTACCATTCAAATTTCATGATTCATTTTATTTTATATCATAAAATATTATGCTCCAATCATTATTCAAATCAAAAATAAAAATTTCAAATTAAAACAAAATATCACGAGTAAAAACCACACGACCCTCGTAAACACTTTTGTAGGTGAAATGCACAAGGCATCGGTCGTGTTCTAGGAAAGCCGTTCGAGTTGTAATAACGGACTTTTGTCCCGGAGGTTTGTGCCTGTCGGACACCGCACATTTCGACCTTAGTGGGACTGCCTTCGGCGCTATGGCCATTCCCGGCCAGGAGGGCAACCTCCGCGACGCCGGTGTCCTACAAATTCGATTTGCACGGTACTATGATTATTACACATTTATTTGCATATCACCTTTTTTCATAATTTTTTAAGTTAGAATATTTCAAAATCTCCGCAAAATTTTTTGTTTGTACATATAGCTTCTTCTTTTTCTTTTTCTTTTTTTTCCTAATTAATTTTCCATACGTTCCAAATATGGTGTAATATTTGATTTTTTTCGCACAAAAAAATTAGATGAGTACTATTAAGTAGAATAATTTGAAAATGAGATGGTGCAATATGAGAGAGAAGAGTCTATATTTATTTAGTTTTTTAATTGAATGTTGTGATTAAGATAAAATGTAACGTAAGAATTAAGTATAATTAATTATTTTTATTATTTCAAAAATATTACATGATGTTTGGGACGAAAGTAAAGACCAAATTATCAAATATACAATACACAAACTAACCGGATATGATAGTAGTCTATACCATTGATACTACAATTGATTTTAGTACACAAACTCCACCCGCACACATAAAATAGAAATAATCTGTTTTCTTGTCGTATGTTATTTATAATATTTTTATTTGTTGACAGAGACAATCAATATAGTAATAATAAATCTCCAATCAGTACCTTAACCCAAGCGTATTACTATTGCATTACTCATTCTCTATCAATTAAATATCATTTCTTAATACATTTTTCAAACTATCCCACGTTAACTTTTGCTTTTACATCATAACAATATTTTTTCTTAATCTTCATATCCATAGAAACAAATGTAATAGAGCGTTTGATACATATAATAGAATTGCAGAAAAATGACAATAGAAAATAGAATTTGAGAGAAAGAGAATCGAGTAGAGAATGAGAATTAATTCTCTTGTTCGGTAGAGTAGAGAATTCAGTTGAGAAATGTTAAAAAATGAATGGATCGGACAAGAATAAATGATTAATCTAACAAAAGAGAATTTTAGCTAATGAGAATTTATTAAAAATATTTCTGATGACTTTTTTTTACAAAAATAATAAATTATATACGAAATTTTGTAAGATCATATTTTAGTTTTATTTTTTTTAAAAAAAATCGTAAAAAATTAAATACTTGAATGATAAATTAAATCTAATTTTTGTAAAACTGAAATAATATAATATAAATAATTATAAAATTAAATAGTACAAAAAAAATAAAAAAATATATACAGATTTATTTTTCAAATTTCATCAAACAAGAAAAATAAAAATTTTCTATTTCTCTGTTGCCAATTCTCTATACCAAACACACCCTAAATATTTTTCCGGGATGGAGGGAGTATGTCAAAATAAATAAGTCCCCTTTCGGACTACAAAAATGACCATTGTCACGTCTAATATCAGCGTTCCATGCGACTACTCGGGCAAGAACGTCGTCTTCCACGTGGACCAGGGTTCGAACCCTAACTACATCGCGGTGCTGATCGAGTTCGAAGAAGGAGACGGAGACCTATCCGGAGTCGATCTGCAACAAGCGTCGGACGGACCGGGAAAATGGTGGCAGATGAACCAATCGTGGGGCGCCATCTGGCAGCTGAACCCGGGGTCGGAGCTCCGGCCTCCGCTGTCTATCCGGCTGACGTCAGCGTACTCGGACAAAATCCTAGTTGCCAAAAATGTGATCCCTGTTGGCTGGAAGCCTAATGGCACTTACAGATCTCTAGTTAATTTCCTTAGTTAAATTTGCTAATATATTAATATATATATATATATTTTTTATTTTTTTTTTTTGTAAGAATTAAGTTGTGTGGGCTTCCAATGCAAATTTGGTTTCAAATTTTGCATAAGGGATGCTTTAATTTATCTATAGTTAGTGTTTGATGAGGTTTGGAAGTAATTCTTGTTTGTTTGTGTTTGGAATGTTTTGAATTTGGTAATTATTTTAGTGGAATAGAATAAGGGTTGTTTATTTGTATTTTTTTTAGTTTTTATATTTTTAAAATGAAATAGTTGTTAATTGTGATTTTTTAGTATAGAGATTATTTTTTTATAATTTTTAATATTGGAAAAACAAAACAAACTCAAGTAAAATAAACCTAACTATGAATATTTTAAATAGAATTTGGTTTGGATAGTTTAAATTGAAATTAATTTAGTTATTTGAATTTTTATTTAAATAATATATTTTGTGATACTTCATCTATTATTTAATTACATGCTTATTTTGACCAGGTATGAATTTAAAAAAAATAGATAAAAATTGAAATTTTTACGTTTTTGTTCAAAAAAATTTGAATTAAGAGTAAATTTGAATGATTGAGAGTTTTTTAATTTTAAATTTGAATAATAAAATTTTGAATTAAAAATTATTTAATGTAATATAAATATAAGTTAGACGTGAGTTTGAATGTTAAAATTAAATTTTAATATAATAAAATAAGTAAAATTAAATATTTAACTGATATTTTTGAAAAAAAAAATTAAAATAATAAAATTAAAGTAAAATCTTTCCGGTAAACCGAGCCCATTGTTTTAAATAAATCAAGCAAGCCAAATCACACGAGTCCGAATTATCATGTAAACAAATCTTTAATTCTCATCGGGCCGTTGATTTTGTTCAGTGTACGCGTGGCAGTGATCCGATGGGTGCAATGTACAACACTGTAGAAATGGTCACTGGAGAGGACTCCACCTTTACGTCATTGTCAGATTGATATGTGATACAGACCTTTCGGTTCAATTTATCTGTAAATTCAATGCTTTTAATCCAACCCATTGTAGCTCATCATAGCCACCGCCTTCTTCAAAGCTCCTTGGACGGATCTGCTTCATTTCATCATCTGCGGAGAAAATTGATCGGACGCATCAGGTCTGGACTCGAAGTTCGAAGGAAAGTAGCTGTGAGGGCAATTTCTTCGTCCGCACTAGTCGATTCGAAGATGGTTAAAGCGATAAGGATCCACGAACTCGGCGGACCTGAGGTATTACTCTCTTATGCCTTGACACTTTGCGTCGTTGAATTTATGATTACGTTAATTTTATTAGAACCAATTATTTCAGTGTGTGTTTTGAGTTTGATTGAATTGAACTGTTCTAAGTTAATCTATAGGTTTTTTTTGTTCAATTCAGCTTATTGTTACCATTGTATGGAGAATTGTTGGAATTGGAATTGGAATCATCTCTGTATGGATTGACTGTCTTTTTATGTATTTTCTAATCACATAGTTGCAGTGAGTTGTTTATGTCGTCATTTGCTTCTATTTTTCGAAGATTTCACTAAAACTCGTTTCAATTGCTAAGTTCAATCTGTGCTTTTTGAAAAGGAGTGTTGTTATGGCTGCACTTTGAATTGTGGAGATGTAAGTTTTAGTTAGTAATTTTATCATCCAGATTTGAACTTGAATAATGCATTTGTATGCTGTTTTGCTTGAAGTTATTGTTCATCTTATTGCTATGGTAACTGTAAGTACAATTGCATAATGCATTTTTTTACTATAGGTTCTGAAATGGGAGGATGTGGAAATTGGTGATCCAAAGGATGGAGAGGTCAGAGTGAAACATAAGGCGATTGGAGTGAACTTCATTGATATTTATTACCGAAAAGGAGTTTACAGTGCTTCCAGTATGCCGTTCACGCCAGGTTCGATTTCTTTTTGGTTTCTCAGAGTTTTGACACCTTGATATGGAAGCCTTTTAACTAGCCATTCTTATTGCCGGTTAACGTTTGAGTATGTTAAATGACAATCTCACTTAAAAGCTTTTGTTTTTAGATTTGGATTTTTTGTTTAGATTTCTTAATAGTAAAAAGCTTGAATTTGAATAGTTGTTTGACTTGGTATAAATGTGTTAATGTGATGTTTTAAATGTAAAATTAATTTTAGAGTAGTATAAGGAAATGAATAGAAATTATGTGAATAGTAAAAATCATGCAAGAGTCTACAAGAGAACACTACATAAGCTTTTAAATGATACATATCATTTATTTATGTGTATATATATTATAGCATCAACCAACAAACCGCCTTAAGTACAAGGTGGATTTATGCCACATACGGATCTTGCGCTTAGATGATGGCTAATAGGGGACGGTGAGACTTGAACACAAAACGTTCTGGCTCTGATACCTAACCTTACCTCATTTAATGATATCTGTTGTAGTGTTCCTCCAAAGACACCTGAATATCTCGTGGGTGAAGTTTTGGGTTCAAATTTCGGGTAGCAACATGAGAAGAAAAATAAAGACTGCATTGTGACGATTCATAGAAGAACAATGGATCCTTCAATATTCTTTGTTTTCAAAAAAATAAATTAGCCGTGAATATTACACATGGATAATCCGCTCCTAAATGTGAACTATTTTTGTACAAGTTTGGTAACATTGGAGTCTGCCTATATGAAATTCTCTGTCAAGTGTTTCTTAATCACAGGTATGGAAGCTGTCGGCGAGGTAACTGCTGTAGGTCCTGGACTTACTGGAAGGAAGGTCGAAGATCTTGTTGCTTATGCCGGTCTTCCCATGGGCGCCTATACAGAAGAGCAGATCCTTCCTGCTGATAAAGTGGTTCCTGTGCCGCCTTCTATCGATCCAATTCTAGCCGCAGCTATCTTGCTCAAGGGAATGACAGCTCAGTTTCTCCTTCGCAGATGCTTCAAAGTAGGAATTTCCTCCTTTCTATATTACTTACAGTATTCTAGCATTTACGTATTTCCTTAGATTATTCTAAGTGTTTAAAATTATGGTTGGGATACCTTACGGGGACGATTACTTACTCATTATGCATTATGACTAGGTGCCTGTTGCATTGTATTCTCATATTGAGTAAACCGCTTTCGTCTTCTACTGCTAACTTTCCTATAACTTTACTTGTTTTAGTTACTAATCCTTAAGAGCAGCTTAGTTTTTCTTTTCGTTTTAAAATTTTTGTAAAAAAAGGGAACAATCGAACATATGTATGCTTTAGTTTTGTGCTGATAATAATTTCAGTGTTGGTTCTTCCTTTACTTTTCAACTCCGCAAGGTGGAATTCCTGTCTAGCGAATAATCAACAAATCAAAGTGCACTAGGAGTTTTGTTTCACTATTTCCGGAATCATCATAGAGTTCCGTATGTAGTAATGCTCAAAATCCTTCTCCTATATCGATGTTTGTTCATTGCTTTTGGATTTGTGTTGTTAGTTATATGAGTTCTCTTTTCTATGTGGCAACATTGTTTATAATCCACCTATAGACCATACTCCTTCGTGATTTAGAAACTGTGCAGGGATTACTAGTGTTTTAAAAAAAATTAGAATTTCCTTGAAATTGTGTTTGAAATCCGTCGTGTTTTCGAAAAAATTGAATGGTGCAGACTTTCCAAATCATACATTATAAGCAATTTTTCCTTTCTATAGTGCTATATGTTGATATGCCTTTAATCTAGTTTATCACTTCGCTAAATTTTTACGGGGTTTCACTGCCCGGCAGCGAGTCGGGGATCAAGGCGGGGAGGAGTGGCCGCTAACCCGACGGTATGCAGTATTGGCCTTTTGAGTTCGTACTAGGCTGAGCCCGTCCGATGTATTCTCTTAGTTTATCTGAATATTGAATAAGTTTAGAGATATACAATCTAGGTTAATCTGTATCAGAAATTGGTATATGTAATCTCTAACCTATCCGCCCTAAACCACATAAATATGCGACTTCTTTACGTTTCTGTTTGTTAATCGATCATTTCCTAATCCGCTACAACACTTTATATGTTGGAAATGTTGTGTTTTTAGAGTTGTATCATTGTATAGGTCGAACCCGGACACACTGTCCTTGTTCATGCTGCTGCCGGAGGAGTCGGGTCTGTGCTATGCCAATGGGCAAATGCCCTCGGAGCCACCGTCATCGGAACTGTTTCAACCAATGAAAAGGCGGCGCAAGCCAAAGAAGACGGGTGCCACCATGTCATACTCTACAAGGACGAAGATTTCGTTGCCCGCATCAACGAAATCACCGACGGAAAAGGAGTCGAAGTCGTTTACGACTCCGTCGGGAAGGACACTTTACAGGCAAAACATTCTTCATTAACCTTCGATGCCATTACCGCTTCTAATTTTATTGATTCAAAATTGCTTGATTATTCGTCCAGGGATCATTGTCGGTCCTGAAGCCCCGGGGACACCTAGTGAGCTTCGGACAGTCCTCGGGACTTCCCGATCCCGTCCCGCTACCGTCACTCGGCGCGAAATCGCTGTTCTTGACGAGGCCTTCAATGATGCACTACACAACTACCAGGGATGAGCTGCTGGAGACGGCCTCGGAGGTATTTACGAATGTCGCGGCGGGTGTTATTCGGGTGCGGATAAATCCTACGTACCCGTTGTCTCGTGCGGCGCAAGCGCATGCGGATCTTGAGAGCAGGAAGACGTCGGGATCGATTGTGCTCGTGCCGGACGCGGCGTAAGACCGGTAAGTGTTTTTTTAACGAACTTGGTAGTAATAAACAGATTGCTTGAGGAATTTGTGAGCAAACTTTAGGTTTAGTTATGAAAAGTTTATGGATGGCCCATTTTCTTACCGTTACGCGTCTCTCTCTCTCTCTCTCTCTCTCTCCCCCCGTGGGTGTGTTTGTTTGGGGGTTTGGATTTTGAGTTGGAATTTGAATAGTAAAAATTTTGAATTCGAATAGTTGTATGATGTGATATAAATAGGTGTTGATGTGATGTTTTGAATGTAAAATTGATTTTTAAGTATAATATAAAAAATAAAAAATAGCTTTTTGATTTGATTTTTTTGGGAAAAAAAATGGGATGAATAGTGGATTTAAAACCCAATCAGTCAAACAAACACTAAGTAGAATTTATTTGTTTTTTATTTCTAGTCATGTTTAGTAGCTAACTTTTTATTCTAATCTAAGGTTGGATCGAATTATTGGATTATGAAATTGTGAGATAGTTTTGGTTTTAATCGAATCTCTCAATTAATTAGTATTTGTGCGATTTTTGTGTAGCGTGTTTACAATCATTAGATGTGATTTATTATTGTGGCGAAGTTTTAAATTTGTCTATTGATTGTGTGCTAATTGAATAATTGCATCTGTAATGATGTATATATTCAATAAAATAGTAAATAGGTTAACGGCTGATCGAATAGAAAATATTCTGTAATTGATTAAATATTCAAATTGGGTTTTTTTTTTGTACTATTTTCAATTGAAGAATTTTTACTATAGTTGTACCTAGTTTAGTTCTTTCGATTAGAGAATGGTTAATTGGTCGTACATTTGCCAAATTGGGTGTTCGATGTTATCAAATACCTATAATTAATTTATAACATGTGCTGATCCGGTTAAATCAACGTATCGCCACGCTGACTTAATCGGACAAAGGCCAATGTCTGAGACATTTCATATCTACACTTTATGTTTACTTAACGATTTTCGGACTCACTTCGAAGTTTTAGGGCTTTGAAAAAATTTTAAAATAGTAAATTGTCTTTGATGTGATTATTTTAAGAAAAATTATTATTGTTAACAATGGAAATGTTTAAAGAGTGTTATTTTAATATATTTATTTTAATAAATATATATACTTTATTAATAAAATAAAAACTTTCAGTATGTTGGTTCAACGTTGTGAGATGAATTAATTATTTATGTATGATACGATGAATTGTATTGGTAATATATAAAATTATATTATTTTATGTAGATTGATTGAATTTTTATAAGTAGATAATATATATATATATTATATTAGGTGTGTATATTTGTATTTTCTTAATAATATTTATGAAAAATTATTTCATTGAGAAATGGCGAAGGAACAGACCCATTCTATTGAAAAAATTCTATATGTTTCTTTTTAGAGTTTAGATTTTGATTTGAGATTTAAATAAAAAAAATAAAATTAAATTGAATAGTTGCATGTGATGTAAGTGAATTTCTTTTCGCACATTTTTCTAAAAATATTCAGGGTGTGTTTGTTTTGGGGGTTTGGATTTTGAGTTGGGATTTGAATAGTAAAATTTTTGAATTTGAATAGTTGTATGGTGTGATATAAATAGGGTTTAATGTGATGTTTTGAATGTAAAATTGATTTTTAGTATAATATAAAAAATAAAAAATAAGTGTTTGATTTGATATCTTTTGGGGGAAAAAATTGGATGAATAGTGGAAATCCACCAAAATCCTTCAAACAAACACTCCTAATATATTACACACATTCATTATTTTTACATTATCTATCCAATTTTTTATATATAAAAAATATCTTTTCAAACAATTTTTACAAAACAAACACCATAAATATTGATATAATGTTTTGAATGTAAAATTAATTTTAATATAATATAAAAAAATAGATGTTTAATTTCATATATTTGGAAAAAAAAAAATTAATGAATGATAGAAATTTTGTGAGTGGATACACTTAAATCATATTTATACTGATACTGTTTTTAATATATTAAGGGTGTGTTTGTCTGGGGGATTGGATTTTTTGTCACTATTCATCCAATTTTTTTCCCCCAAAAATATCAAATCATACATCTATTTTTCATTTTTTATACTCCCCCGTCCCACATAATTTGTCACTATTTTCTATTTTCGTCTGTCCCACATAATTTGTCATTTCTATTTTTGGAAATATAATTATGCATTTTAATCGCATTTTAAATTTTAAATTTTATAATTTTTTTAATTTTAATTAAACTATTTACTTATTTTAATCTTAATCTATAATTATTTTTACTAATATACTTTTTAATTACTTATTAATTATACTTTACCTAAATTTCCGTGTCTACAGTAATACACCCATGTTACATGGGACAGAGGGAATATTATACTAAAAATCAATTTTACAATCAAAATATCACATCAACACCTATTTATATCACATCATACAACTATTCAAATTCAAATATTTTACTATTCAAATCCCAACTCAAAATCCAACTCCAAACAAACACACCCTAAGTATATACACTCCAAACAAACACACCCTAAGTATATACTCCCTCTATTCCAAAACCGACATTTGGTACAGACATGAAAATTAAAGAATAATAGTATTATATTGATAATTGATATAAAAGTATTTTTAAATGACCAAAATATTCATGCTTTATATAATTATTGTGAAAAAGTAGAGATATATTTTTTTTTTTTTTTTGTAAAAAAATGGAGAGTAATATATATTTTTAAAAAATTAATATTCAATACAAAATTTTTTTTTGGTTAATTTTTGTTCATTTTACTTAAAAGTATTTTTATATCAAATTTCACCCAATTTTTACTATTTTCATCAATTTTTTTTTTAAAAAAACATCAAATTAAACACCTATTTTTTTTTTATATACTATACTAAAAATCAATTATTCAAATTCAAAACTTTTACCATTCAAATCTCAAACCAAAATCCAAATCCCAGACACACCCTTACGGTTCAAAAATTAAAAAATGCGCCCGTGCATCATTCACCACCTATGTTTCGTTTCACTTCGGTTCAATTCCACGTGTTTTTAACCATAGCTGGAGACGAAAACATGGTAAAAATCTAAAGAATATATAGGTAAAAAGGATGATTCTCCTAAAATTCATGGATCACTTCTAAAAATGCAAACAAATGATGAAATCCCATACTCCCTATGCAACTTACCCAATGGCGAAACCGAACCTAATTCTCTGTCCAGGTGTGTTTACACTTGGTGCAGACGTAAAATATAGTCATCGGTTCATCTGCTGACCTCGTCTGAACTTGGGTGAAAGAAGCTTCCCCGTGGTTGCACTCGGGACAAGACACACCTGCAAAACAATCAACTCATCAAATGTTCCCAAATCCAAAACACATAAATATGTGTGCATTGGGATTCATATCCAAGAACGATACCTACACAAGAAATGGCCAGAAATATATATATATATATATATTATATTTATCTATGTATGGATTCACATTTTTTGAAACAAGTCAATTGTCTTGGAGGTTGGTAGGATTTAATGATCATTTCATCAATGATTAAAGGAAGGGTTTCTAATCTTGGTTCTGTCACGATATGAAAACAAACAAATTCGCAAACATTGATAGCAAGATCCTCAAATAGGTACCAAAAGGATCAAAGTAATGGTTCAGATGGTTTGCAATTTCGCGATCTTCAGCAAATATGAAAATGAAAATTCTAAAAATCGAAAACCCCCAAGCATATAAAATTCAAAGTGTCTGTTCTAGCAACCATCAAGTATTATAGTTCTCAAGAGAAGATATTAAAAACAAAAAAATAAAAAATAAAAAATCTCACTTGTAGTTTTGTTTAAATACACCCTATCGGCTTCAGAGAAAATTGGGTCTACTGGTTTCTTCCGCAAGCGCATACGTCTTTTTATCTTACCCTGTTGGAAGAAAGATTCAAGCAAAATATATAAGCAAGTGATTCAAGCATGTAGAGGAAGATAATTAGAGAAGAGGTTGTGCATAGATAAGATTAGATTAGATTAGATACCTCTATGTTGCATATGTAAGGACAAGTTGGACAGAAAAGTCTAGTAGAAGAATGGTGCATTTCACAGAGCAGCATGTTCGCACAAAACGGGCAGAACTCCATTGATGCCCGCTGCTATAACCCTACGATGACAAAAGCATTTACCAGAATTCAAGTACTTATTAATTGGATTTTTAGCAATTGAGTCAGCCAGAAAATGTGATTGATAAGCCCCAGCTATGGCAGTTCTTTTGTAGATCTTACCACATATTTTTACTGTTCAAATTCTTCTCCCTCGAAAAAATATCAAGTCAAAAAAATTATTTTTCTTATTTTCTATTATACCGTAAATTTATTTTACATTCAAAAATCACATTAATATATATTCAATTTCATCCTTTTTCTATTCAAAAATTCAAATAAAAAATCCCAAACCCACAAACAAACACACCAGTAAGACTTGTTCACTTAACATTTTTTGCTGGAACGAATCCCATGAATTTTATTAAAGAAATACCATTTACACACATATTAACACAATATATATAATATATATTTTATCTTCTCACAAAAAGTAAATAATTCAACGCAATATTATTTTTTATATTACAAACACAATTCTCTATGCTTAAAATAAAAACACATCTACTTACTTGTATAACTTTCCATTTGATTCTACTATTCCAACTTTCTTTTTCCTAAAAAAAAATAACTCAAATACCTATTTTTATTTATTATATTACACTAGAATCTAATTTTATATTCAAAACATAGTATCAATACACATTTATATCACATCAAACAACTATTTGAATTTAAAATTTTACTATTTAAAACCAAAATCTTACAAGCAAACAACAAACTCGTAGAAAACATATAACGAAGCAGGTATTAAAGAACCAGCGAAGGTAAATGACGATTCTATTAAGATGGAAATTAAAAGTCAACAAAAAGAAGAAAAATATATAAGAACAATGATCGTAACAAACTTTCAGCATAACCACAATCAAAAAGCGAAAACAAAAAATCGCAACCAGGTCAAGAAACAGCACAATAGTGTACAGCCAATACTTCCATTAGTTATTAGGGGTGTGTTTGTTTTGGGATTTTTCCCCAAATACACTGTTCATTCAATATTTTCCCTCCAAAAACATCAAATCAAACACCTATTTTTTATTTCTATATTATATTAAAAATCAATTTTACATTCAAAACATCACATCAACACCTATTTATATCATATCATACAACTATTCAAATTCAAAATTTTAACTATTTAAATCTCAACTCAAAATCCAAACCCCCAAACAAACACACCATAGGTATTCAAACTTAACAGTACCAGATATTCAAGGTGTGTTCTTTTATCCAATTTCGAAAAATTTCTACTATTCATCAAAATTTTCAACCAACAACATCAAATCAAAAATCTAATTTTCATTTTTTATATTATACTATTAATCACTTGTACATTCAAATCATCACAGCACATGTTTATTTATATCAGATCATCCAAATATTTCAATTCAAAATTTTTACGACTAAGATTCCAAGAAAAAAATCCAATCCCCCAAAATAACAAACAGCAGTAATCAACCAAAAAAAAAAGTACCAAAACGGCATGGAATGTTCACCATAAAACCGCTGTGAATTTTTCACTAATTTCGGCATTTATCATTCTACGAGGCATTTAATCGAACACATGGCGTGCATATCTCGCACTAAATTACTGGACAACTAAACTAAACGAGCAAGAAAAAACTGCTATTTGATTTGAGAATAATAACCTTTTGGTGCAATCGAAAGCTTACTGGATCCACTGATTATATCGAGAGGGTCCGGGAGAATGAAATCAGAAAATTCCACTATACATGAATATATTATTTATATATATATATATTCAGATATATGTAATGTTTTCCATAATATTTTCTAGGGTTTAGGTGCAGAACCTTACCGTGGGTTCACGATGTCGCCGTCTTTGATTTCTCTTAAATTGTTGGGGAAGAAGAAGAAGACGGAAAAGAAGAAAAGAAGAGAAGGTCGATTGGGGCGGCGTTGGCGTATAGATGTTCAATCCTCTGTTGATCAGTGAAAATATAGTGAAAATAAGTTATGATTGTTTGGGGCTTTCGAATTGAGTTGGGATTTGAATTTGTTTGGGGCTTTCGAATTGAGTTGGGATTTTAACGCTAAAAATTTTGAATTTGAATAATTATAGGGTTATGTGATATTTTGATGTAAAATTAATTTTTAATAGTATAATATAAAAAAGGGAAAAAATTAGGTCTCAATATAATCAAAATTAATCAATTTTGGTCTCAATGTAAAAAATTCATCAATTTTGGTCAAATATAACCAAAATTTATCAATTTTGGTCCCAATATAAAAATTCATCAATTTTGGTCGCAATATAAACAATTTCAATCAATTTTGGTCCCATTATAAACAATTTTTATCAATTTTGGTCCAATCGTTAAAAAACTAACCGAAATTGCTGACGTGGACATAACGGAGGTGACGTGGCAGTTGACCTGGAAAAAGTACACGGCCATGTACAATTATACACGGCTATGTTGTTACCGGGCCATGTATATATCAATGTATAATTATACATGGCCATGTTGTTACACGGCCATGTACAATTATACACGACTATGTTGTTACATGACCATATATATTTCAGTGTATAATTATATATGACCATGTTGTTACACGACCATGTATAATTCTACACGGCCGTGTATCTTTCTGTTTCGGTCTAAAATTTTAATTTTTTGTTATATTTTTATTTATTTTTTTTGAATTTAGAATAGTTGATATAGTTAAAATAGAAAAAAAAAAAATAATCATAATATAATTAAAATATATCAATTTTAGTTCAAATATAAGTATTTATCGAGTATGTTCTTTGGGAAGATTTTGTCTAAAATTATACTATTTAACAAAAATTTCAATACATTAATTGGATGTTTGTAAGAGAAATTTTTTTACTAAATTGATAAATTTTGGTTATTTACGTGACGTGGACACTGAAATAGTGTTTGATTTGATGTTTTTGGGAAAAAAAATTGGATAAATAGTGTAAATCCAATCCAATTCTCCAAAAAAATACACCCTAAATAAAAATTAATAATATTTTTAGTTTGGAAGGTATTAAGTTCCGTCGAAATTTACCCAATGCAATGCGTATTTTTTGGTAGCCGACTGTTGATTTTCAAGTCATAAAATAATAATATAAATAATATTTTATATTAATGTATAATTAATTTATTAAAATATAAAATTAATATTTTAAATGAGATATGAAAATAGTAAACAAATAGGTAGAGTTTGGAGTAATATAATAATTCTTCGGTACGGTCACATTTATGTTTTTATGTTGTTGTATTTAATATTAAAATTATTTTTATATTTGTATAATTTTTTATATCACGTCATTCTATCAGTATTACAAGATATTAATTGAAGTATTTTTATAATTTTTTTTTAATTTATACTACATTTTGATATAATAATTAATATTTAAAAACTATATAGTAAAAAGTAAATGAGACTCGAGTTGAAAGGTAGTATAAAAATCTTTTAAGTTATAAGTGCATATGACAATTTTATTTTTTTTAAAAAGTAATTGTATATGTAATTGTATATTTGTAGTTTAGGTAAAAGTTAAAAATATTTTAATATTAAAATATAATTATTTTTATTAAATTAAAAACAGATATTTTAAAGTGAAATAAACAAAAATAATAAAAAAATATTTTGAGTTAGGACATAGTGATATTTTAACATATCTCGGGACAATGACTATTTGTTTTAATATTGTTATTTAGATAATTTATATTAGTAATTATTAATAATAAATTATTTTATTATTTTTAATATTAGTAGTATTAGATTCTAAAAATATAAAATAATATATAAATATAATTAAAAAAATAAAATATATATTAAATAGTTAATATTATGTTCATTAAGATATATACTATATAAATATAAATATTATTTTGTAAACAATAAATAATACTTAGTCTGTTTATAATTAACTATTTATTTACTTTTTGCACGTAATTTTAAAAATATTAATATTATAATTAGATGGAGTATGAATAAAGTAAAAATGATTAAAATAACTTTATTAGTATGTATGATATAAAAATAATGATATTTGTGTAATATATTGTAAGTTGTAAGGGTATTTGTAAAGTTAGTTAGGTAGATAGTGCCGTTAGTAAAAAAAATGAATACTTTGTTATGAGACGGACTAAAATGAAAAAATGGATACTTTATCATGGGAAAATGGAGTAAAATTTTATATAATATAAATAAATAATACTCCCTCTGTCCCAAATACCATGCCCACATTTCCATTTCTGTCTGTCTTGTCACTTTTTTTTTTAAATGATTACACACTTTAATCTCATTTTAAATTTTTAAATTTTATTTTTTTAATTTTAATTAAACTAATTAGTTATCTTAATCTTAATTAATAATTATTTATATTATAGGATAATTATTTTCACTAATATATTTTTAATTATCTACTAATTACACATCTTCTAAAATACCATGTATACAGCGTAGCAGACACGGTACCTGGGACGGAGGGAGTATATATTTATGCTTAAGTTAAATTAGTTTTTTTTAAAAAAATAAAAATTTTAAATATAAATGAAAATATTTATATATCGAAAAATAAAAATAAATAAATTAAAGAGAAAATTTTAGCTTGAATTTGATATTAAAATAATGTATAATGAAATATTTTATGATAGAAAAAAATATATATTTTTTAAAAAAAGGTAGACTCCGAATAATAGAAACTTTGGGTGAATGACTAAATAAACAAACACTAAGTTAGTAATGATTGAAATTTTTTAAGGTAATGATTGAAATTTTTTAAGATGATATTTATGAGTTTTTTTTTTTATATTGAGAACAAAAATTTGAAATTAATTTTTTCTCGGTAAAATGTTATTTAAATTAAAATCAATTTAAGAAATAAATAAATCACAAATCAAATCCAAACAAACCCAATTTCTACGGAACTTTCTCTCGTCTTAGAAAAATCAGCAAATAGACATACTCCTCCAAGCGATCGATCGATCTAGGATTCCTTGAGAATCAGGGAGTCAATTTCCTTCTCCAAACTCACAATCGACCATTCACAACCTTCGGAAGTTTTGACCTCACAGGATTTATCCAATTTCGTCGGCAAAAATCCTTGGTTTTGATCACCGGTTAAACCCTGATTGCAGTTCCGGCTAATTTATCGGCGGAGATGGTGCTGAAGCAGAAGATCCACGATGCGTTCAAGGGGACTGTGGAGCGAATGACGGGCCCCCGCACCGTCTCCGCTTTCAAAGAAAAAGGCGTTCTAAGCATCAACGAGTTTATTCTCGCCGGCGATAACCTTGTCTCCAAGTGCCCTACCTGGTCTTGGTAAAATTCCTCGCTCACTCCAACTTATTTTATAGCTGTTTATGTGTGGAATTGGGATTTGGGAGTAATTATGGGTAGCATAATTAGAAATCTGTTGTTTCTAGATGATAATTGATGCTAAGTTTGTAATTTTCTCAGTATAAAAGGAAGAGGACATAAAAGTGTAATGTGGATTTGTTGCGATTTTTTAATGGTTTTGGTTATGTTTTAGTTTTTGTTTCCTAAGTTTGCCATTTGTGTTCGTCGAAAGCTTACACAGTTGTAATCTGGAACGGTAATATATGCATTTGTGGAAAAGAATTGAGGAATTGGGTTGATTCTATGGGGAGAAATTGTTTCCGACTTCTTGGTTTGGGCGGTGATAAAATGGGGCATTATTTTGATATTTGATTGCATCTTATTGGTATGTTCTGCAGGGAATCGGGCGAGCCTAGCAAGAGGAAGTCGTATCTGCCACAAGATAAGCAGTTCTTGGTGACTAGAAATGGTTAGTGGATCTTTATCCTGAGTTTTGATTCAGCTTCAATGGTGTTATTATGGATGTTGTTGTATAATTGTTTTGATATTAAACTGCCGTTGATGGTTTTATCTTGGTGTCGATATCTTTAAAACTTCAATCAACTTATGTAGCATGATGTTATCACTTAAAGTCCTTATATTAGTGATGTGTTTGTGCTTGTGATGTTTTGAAGCGCTTTAGATTTACAAATTTTTTAATAGAAAATAGATGTTGAATTTTATGTTTGAATGAAAAAATAAGTTTTGGATGTGATCTTTTTAATAATAAAAAAAATGGATTGGATATGATTTTTAGAGGAAAATATATTTTAACATTTGGAACGGGTTATTAGTTTTAAAAATTTGAACATAGCTGAATTTATGGTGGGTTACGGGTTTGATCGAAAACCCTCCCTGACCCATCCCAAGCCCATTTAAATTAATAGTTTTCAAAATGGAAGTTACAAATCTTTATAATTATACATGTCTAAATTTCAAATTCTATATTATTATGGTCATATTCATTGATTTTATTTTCAAATTTTCACAATTTCAACCTTGCTGACTACAATTGCTGTATCTTCCCACTCACCTTCTTTGTGGACTACAATTATTGTATCGTCCACTCACAAGCATACCATCAATTCTATGATCGATTTTTTAAAAGTTTAAGTATTTTTAACTGTTTTTTTTTTTTTTTTCCTTATATCATATTGTATGATCAAAAGTAAATAAATTTATATATACATATATTTTTATATTGAATGACTACCTTTTTAAAATCTATGTTCATGAAATATTTTGCAGTTTTCTTCTCTTGTTGCCATTTCTTGGTCTTACTATGTCTTTTTGTGCAGTTGCCTGTCTCCGTAGAGCTTCTTCAATTGAAAAAGAGTATGAGGATGCTGGAGGTGAAGTACTACTTGATGATGAGGATGATGATGGATGGCTGGCAACCCATGGAAAACCTAAAGGTACGTGGTCTACATTTCCCGGAAGAAAGAAATGCTGTGAACTAGGTTAGTTACGTTGGTTCTGCTTGTTCATTTGTTGAATTCGAGCTTCTCTTTCCTCTAGAAAATAAAAATGAAGAGGATGAAAATTTGCCATCAATGGAGACACTAGAAATCAGCTCAAACACTAGAAAAATACAATCCATCTCATCTTATTTTGGAGGAGGTGAAGAGGAGGATATTCCAGACATGGATGAACTTGAAGGCACGGACAACCTCGTTGAAACTGATCCTGTAAGTTATTAACTCTCTGATGTAACTGATAGTTTCTAGTATTGCTAGTTTGTGCCTTTGCAATATATGATGTGGTAGAAGAAACCTTGAGCTTATTATAAAATTCAATTTTTGCATATTTGTATGTTTTATTCTTACTATGAAATCGTTATATATTCTTAGTTACTTTCTTAGTTTAAATGTTGGATAATTTTTTGTACAAGCTTATCTCCACGCTGATAAACTGCAGGTAGCAATTTTAATTTATTTACTTTTTTTTTTTTTTCGAACGAGTGTAGGCCACTCTCCAGAACGCTTACCTTGTAGCTCATGAGCCTGAAGATGACAACATCCTACGAACTCGAACATATGATGTCACCATCACGTAAGCTTTAATATAGCTTGAAAATATTCTTTACCAGTGAAGTTCGGTCACCTTGCCTGACAATATCTCACTCAGGTACGACAAGTATTACCAAACTCCTCGTGTGTGGCTCACTGGATATGATGAGGTTAGTTATGTATTATTTTTTATCTGTATTTTTTTCTTCGATGTTATGGTTTAATATGTTATTCATCCAACCTCTTGAGCCATTTAAAATGAACAATTCATGTTCAGAGCAGAATCCTTAGAAGGTGATAAATACCTGCTTGTTTATTCTTCTCTGTTGCAGTCAAGGATGCTTTTGCAACCTGAATTTGTGCTCGAAGATGTCAGTCAAGACCATGCACGAAAAACTGTAAGACAAATTGTCTGTCTTAATGATTCGGAATTATTTTTACCTAGCTTTCTTAGAAAAATAGAAAACTTCTCGAGGTTGTAGTGTCGATATCTAAGAGCATTACAATTGGTGAAACGATGGAAATGTTTTTTGGTTTTATGTCTTTGTTATATTTATTTAGGTCTTTCAATCGTTTGACCGTAATTCAGCAATTTGTTGCTTATGATTGATATTATCTATGCATTGAGGTCAGGTGACAATCGAAGACCATCCTCATTTGGCTGGGAAACATGCTTCCATTCATCCATGCCGCCATGGGGCTGTAATGAAAAAAATTATCGACGTTCTAATGTCACGGGGGGTGGAGCCTGAAGTGGACAAGTAAATTTCTTCACTATATATATATATATATATATTTGAATAATGACTGCTATTTGTGGGATACCATTACTTAGTTCAATCCTTCGGGATACCCTAACCATGCTTTGGTATATGAAAGCTCACATTCTTCATTATTTCTTAAACTTTAGTTGTATCGATCAGTCGTGCAGTATTCTTTAATATGTATTATATATCATGGTCTAATATTGGTAACTTTTCCAATCATGTTATGTTTATCGGCATAAGTTTGTACGAATTATTATTTGCCTTTTTCAGGTACCTCTTCTTGTTCTTGAAATTTATGGCCTCTGTGATACCTACTATTGAGTACGATAACACTATGGACTTCGATCTCGGCAGCACAAGCTCCTGATTTCAAGGTTACGTTTCTAAATGTTCTATTTATTCGGCTTTTAATCTGCGCCTTGTTTATCTCTCGTCTTTTCTCATGCTGTTCATAATTAAATGTTATTCTACTTCGCAACGTTCATTTCAATTAACACTATCAGAAGGAGCATGAGCAGTTTACTCATTTCACATAATGTGTAAAAGTATCAGGATTTGCTTTTTCGTATCTTTGACAACTATTTTACGGATTTGAAGCTCGAGAGTGAATCACAAAAAACTATTCTTTCTCAATGGAGTTTTTACATCTTTCTCTGTCATTATTATTCAGAAACGTCTAAATCTTTTCGCCTGATGATATCACAGATTCGGGATCTCGGATCTCGCTGGTTTTTGCTTCTTGCAGATTTACGGCATTCATTATTGTGAAACTCCAAGTCGTCTCATTCTACAACGCTGCGATTTCTGGGCAACGGTTGGTTACGCCATTCTTATGTGTACATGTTCGAAAACTTCATATTTAATTTGTTTTTGTCTTGTTGATTTAGTTCTACTCTTTGATGACATTACTGGCCTATTGGCATCAAAATGTTGCTGGACCTGTGCCATGGTTTTCATATTTATATGCATATATATATATATATTGCATGTCTATATTTAGTGAAATTATTACATATGAGACTGTCATTTTTCTCTTTTCAAGTTAAATCATATGTATAAAAATGAACAGTAAATTTGTGTCTTAACACTCATGCGTGGACCTCTATATGTCGACCCTTATGGTTTGTAGGTTATCAAAGATAAATTACTTCAAGAGATTTTGCAAAAATAGAAAATCGTATATGTAAAAATGGAGTTATGAGTTGGTGATGTGTAAGAACATCTCCAATACACTATCTCTTTCTCCAAATTTTCCGGTTTAGTGCCCTATGACGCTACCCCTTATAAATGGGTTTATTCGATCCTATTCTCGGAACATGTGTTTCGAGTGCTTAAGACTATACCACGGGCGCAATTTGAAAATTATTATTATTAATTTTTTTTTTTTAACTTAAAACTCATTTTTCACCCAAGTTCAAAATGCAACAAACGCAATTTCTCAGCGGCGGAGGCCGATGACTCCTAATGGTGGTGGACGTAGAGATGGCAAAATTTGGCACTAACTCGAAAATTCGATGGCAAAATTTGGCACTAACTCGAAAATTCGACCCGAATCTGGCGCCCGGCCCGGCCAGCTCGAATTTCAGATTAAATGTAATTGTAAATTTTAAATTTATAATTATATTACAAAATGATTTTATATAAAGTCAAATGTAAATATAAAGTCATGAGTTCAATTTGAAAGCAGATTGTGTTCGGGCTTAAATTTTCTGATTCAATTTTAAACTGGGCTGTGCCTAGTTGGCCCAATATATTCTCGGGTCGATCCGGCAAGAAAAAATCGGTTGGCCCGATTTGCCAACCTTAGATGGACTGATGTAGCCGGAAGGAATCAAAATCACTCTCCAATTGTTAGCCATGAAAATTAACTTTAATGTATTCTTCATCTTCTAATTCAAAAAATCCTCCACCAAATCTAAAATATATAAACAAAATTTTATCTTTATTTATCTATGGATATAAATACATACAAAATCCTCAAACTTCCATTATGGCAAGCATCAACATCCGACATTAGAGTTTCTAATTCAATCTGTTTTTCAAAACTTAAAGAATTTATGTAAGTAGAAATCTAAATTATTCAATAATAACAATAATAATATTACAAAATTATCATTATTTTTTACATTAATACATTCACAAGAACAAAAGATTTTTATCTATACTTTTTACCATCACTGTAAAATCAATATTTTTTAAATTATGTGCCTATCACAACTAAGACATATACAATAGTAAAAAAAAACAAAATACTCCCTTGTAGTATCCATTTTTCACGTAGTTTTAGAAATATTAGTATTATATTGGAATATAGTAGGAATAATGTAGAAATGACTAAAATAACCTTATTAGTATGTGTGATATAAAGATAATGACATTTGTGTAATATATTGTAAATTGTAAGGGTATTTGTAATGTTAAGTAGATAATACAGTTACTAAAAAAAATAAATACTTTGTTATGAAACGAAGTAAAATGAAAAAATTGATATTTGTTATGGGATTGAGGGAGTATATGCAATAATAAAAATATCAAATTTATTTTACACACTTACAAAAATTAATAAAATATTATTATTGTTGAACACAAAAAAAAATAATAATAATAAATAATAGCAGCAGGATTCTGGATGGGTCTAGATATAAGCCAAACGACCCAGAAGTCGGGCAAAAAAGAAGTCGGACAAGGAAGGATGATCGACCGATACGTGGTCGGACAGGACAAGGTCGGGCACGGAGATCGGACGTGATAAAGTCGGACACGGAAGTCAGATAGGACCTGGTCGGGCCAAGCTTAAAGGTCGGGCGCAAACAGGCCGAATTCGAAAATCGGGTATGGTAAGGTCTGGTGTGGAGAGGAGGCATGATAAGGTCTGGCGTAATGAGGTCGGGCAGTGAAATAGCATGTGCAGGTCGGGTGAGAGAGCAGTTTTGGGGCGGTTGGAGGAAGTTGCAATTGACGAACGGTTGGAGGAAGTTGCAACTGGCGAACGGTTTTTGAAGGTTGGACGTGGTAGGACGGTTGACACACGTGTCAATAGAAGAGAACTTTTGGGGCGGTTAACAGCGATTATGGTAACCGACCAGATAGCGGTTCGAACCGTTTCTTCAACAGGGTTATTTAAGGATCCGGTGCTGTTCGAAAAAAGGCATCTTCAATCAACTTCAACTACGCAAAGTCAGATTTGGGGATCACTACTTTATTTTCAGTCCTATTTTATATTTGTCTTATTCTTATTTATGTATTCTACAATGTTTAGAGATTCTTAATTTCAAGCACTAATTCTATCAAATTCGAAGATATTTCTTTATTTTCGTATTTTACTTTTTATTGTTGAAAAATAGCATCAACAATTTGGCGACCACAGTGGGAGAAAGGCAAGATTGCTGATCCTACGTCAACGGAGAGTTTCATATGACTGAGGTCCGGCCGAATCGTCGAAAGGATCCACATGGCAGGCTCACAGCCCCAAGTATCTTCAACATCGATAGGAGAAACAATTTCATCACCTGCTATGCCGAATGCAAGGGACGCACCACAAGTACCTGCCGATTGAATGTCATATGTTCAACACTTGAACAACAAGCATACTCTGGCTATGCAGAATATGTTGCGTGAGCAACAGAACATCATGCTGCGCGAGCAACAAAATCTAATGCAGAACATGTTGGATAAGGCGTTTTCCAGATTCACCCTGCATTCAAACATGTCTCCAGCCGTGTCACCTTCTCGTTTTTAGGCGACTTTCTCAGGATCAACGTTTGTAGGACCAACATACGTTGACAGTACATTTCCAAGCGTCACAACTTTCAACCGAACAGATATGGGGAAGACTCCTTTAACTTTTCCCAGATAATGTTTCTTTGGGACCGGGGGTTGATAATACCCAGCCGAATGAGAGGTTGGGGGTACAGGCTCACAATCCCCTCCCAGCCGAGCCAACTATCCTTAGAGAAGAGAGGTTGGGGAACAGACTATTCATCCCATTCTGGTGTTCGATCCAATTCCACCAGGATAGATCCGGAGGAAATCGCTCAAGTTTTACGGGTGCATTTCGGCATGAATCCGCAAACGATAAACATGCCGGTTTATCAGAGACCATTTCCAGAGAGAATCATCAACGATTATCCTCTCCCAAGGAATTATCGACCGCCAGACTTTCATGTTTTTTCAGGAGAAGACGGATCATCCACTATAGAGCATGTGGGTCGGTTCACAGCACAGTTAGGAGAAGTCGGTAATAACCCTTTTTATAAACTGCAACTATTTAGCTTGTCTCTTACCAGGACAGCTTTTTCATGGTTTGTAAATATGCCACCTGGGCAAATACAAACTTGGGAAGGTTTAGAGATGGTGTTCCATGCTAGATTTATCAACCCTTTACCAGCCGTCTCTCTTTCCGATTTGTTGGAAATGAAACAATGTCCGGAAGAGTCAGCCTCACAGTTCATCGAAAGGATACGGTTGATGAAAGGACGATGTCTTACAGTAATCAATGAAAAAGAGTTGACCAACTTAGTGGTCTGCAATATGCATGATCGGTTGAGAGAGGCACTCACTGCTCACGATGTGGAGGGAGTAGGATTCTGGATGGATCTGGATATAAGCCAAACGGCCCAGAAGTCGGACAAAAAAGAAGTCGGACAAGGAAGGATGATCGACCGATACGTGGTCGGACAGGACAAGGTCGGGCACGGAGATCGGACGTGATAAAGTCGGACACGGAAGTCAGACAGGACCTGGTCGGGCCAAGCTTAAAGGTCGGGCGCAAACAGGCCGAATTCGAAAGTCGGGTATGGTAAGGTCTGGTGTGGAGATGAGGCAGGATAAGGTCGGGCGTAATGAGGTCGGATAGTAAAGTAGCATGAGCAGGTCGGGTGAGAGAGCAGTTCTGGAGCGGTTGGAGGAAGTTGCAACTGGCGAACGGTTTTTGAAGGTCGGACGTGGTAGGACGGTTGACGCACGTGTCAATAGAAGAGAACTTTTGGGGCGGTTAACAGCGGTTATGGTAACCGACCAGATAGCCGTTCGAACCGTTTCTTCAACATGGTTATTTAAGGATCCGGTGCTATTCGAAAAAAGACATCTTCAATCAACTTCAACTAAACAAAGTCAGATTTGGGGATCACCACTTTATTTTCAGTTCTATTTTATATTTTTCTTATTGTTATTTAAGTATTCTACAGTGTTTAGAGATTCTTAATTTCAGGCACTAATTTTATCGAATTCGAAAATATTTCTTTATTTTCGGATTTTACTTTTTATTGTTGAAAAATAGCATCAACAATTATTTTTCCATATACTAAAAAATTCAAATAAATACTTTTCAGTATAATTAATATAACTCCAATAAAGATATAGTATAGATAGCCCAACATTGTTGAACTTTGGGCCTTGGGGTTCTGTATTAATTAGGCCCATAGTTTAATGTTCTTCATCTTTCATTGAAAAACCATCGTCATCGTCATCTCCCTCCCCAATCCCCCGGCGGCGAAGGTGTGGGGCCACGGCCGGAGCAATGGGTAATTCTTCTTCTTCTTTCTACTGATTCGAAATTGTGACATTGGAGGTCATGCAATTTTTTTTTTTTTTTTAATTTATATTTTTTCTTGAATTTTGATTCTATTTGGTTTGTTGGGGAATTTGTAGGTGCCTACACGTACATGTCGGTGTTATGGAAGAAGTAGCAATCGGATGTGATGCGGTTCTTGCTTAGGGTTCGCTGCTGGGAGTACCGCCAGCTTCCCTCTATCGTGCGAGTTGCCCATCCCACCCGCCCCGACAAGGCTAGGCGCCTCGGCTACAGCGCCAAGCAGGTGCCAATTCGTAATTATATTTTTGTTCATTGGCATTAGCTTTCGAAGATTGGTTGAATCTGATGCGCGTGACGATTTAGAATAAGAAATTGACTTAGGATTCGTAAAATTTAGGGTTTAGGGTTTTTCAATTTAGTATCGTCCTGTTCTTCTGTCAGTGTTGTGTAATTCCTATTTCAATTCATCAAAATCGTAGG